TCATATAGATGTCCTCAGTCAAATCGCCATTAAGAAACGCATTGGATACATCAAGCTGTGACAGAAACCAATTCTTCGATGCAGTAAGAGCAAGGATTATACGAACAGTGGTTAATTTCGCCACTGGACTGAATGTATCCAAGTAATCTAGTCCTTCAACTTGAGTATACCCTTTGGCGACGAGTCTGGCTTTATGACGTTCAATCGATCCATTAGCATTGTATTTGGTCTTGAAGACCCATTTGCAACCAATGGGATGTTTTCCCGCAGGAAGAGAGCAGATGTCCCAAGTACAAGCTCGAATGAGAGCCTCAAGTTCAAGCCGCATAGCTGATCTTCAGGTTTCTTACTTTGCTGTTTGGGTATAAGTCTTAGGTTCAGAAGAGGTGAGTAAAGAAAGAGCAAACAATTTGTAAGAAGAAGTAAGTTTGGAATACGAGAGAAAATCAGATAAGGGGTATAAGGTTGTGGGTGATGTTTGTGGTGGGGCATTATGTTTGAGAAAGTAACAATGGTAATCCGAGAGGTATGCTGGTGGCTTAGTCTGGCGTTTTGACTTACGTAAGTTTTCATGATGTTCAACCAATGGTAGTGGGGTGGAAGAATCAGAATCGGTTGGGGATAAAGAACTAACAGAAACAGGAATAGTCTCTGATGACACAGATTGGGAGGATGAGGAAGAGTGAGGGACAAAAGTGTCATATAAATGAAAAGGGGATGGAACAGAAGGAAAAAAAAATCGAGAGTTGCAGAAGGCAAAGGAGAGGTTTTGAAAGGGAAGACATTTTCATGAAAAATAACGTTTCGGGAAATCATGATGACATTCGTGTCAAGGTTCATAACCTTGTACCCTTTGATACCATGGGGATACCCAAGAAACACAGATGGAGATGCTCTCGGAGAAAATTTGTGGCGATCTCTTGAATAGGTGGACACAAAACACAGACACCCAAATGTTTTAAGGTGATGATAAGAAGGTTTGCTTTGATTAAGGATCTCATATGGTGATTTGTGGTTAAGCAAGGGAGTCGGAATTCGGTTTATAATGTAGACAGCGGTTTAAACACATTCACCCCATTATGATAGGGGAATATTTGACTGAAATAAGAGAGATCGAGTCACGTTTTATATGTGTTGGTGTTGTCGTTCTACAATGGAATTCTGCTCGGGTGTGTAAGGGCAGGAAAAGTGATATGTGATTCCTTTTTGTAAGAAAAGTTCGGTGAAAGATAGTTCAGGCGCATTGTCTGAACGGACAACCTTAACATCAACATTATACTGAGTTTTAACCAGGTTTAAAAACGTGGGAAAGGTTGACAGAACATCACTTTTTGAAGACAACATATATAACCAGGTTACACGAGAGCAATCATCCACGATTGTCAAGAAATATTTAAATCCATCATAAGTAGGTAAATGGAAGGGTCCCCATGTATCAATATGAAGCAAATCAAAAGGGTGTTTTGACAAATGACCACCAACGGGAAACAAAAGACGCCTCTGTTTAGCAACCGGGCAGACACTGCAGTATGTGTTTACAGACTTTGTAGGATCAAAAGAAATCTGAGAAGATTTAGGTAAAAGATGAACTTTGTAACTAGAGGGATGACTCAAACGGCGATGCCAAAGATCAGCGGATGACGCAGAGACAGTTGTACAGATGGTCTGAGAAGATGAAGAAGACGACATCTGTAAAACATAGAGATGATTGACTTGCTCACCCTTCCCAATCATCAAGCCTTGCAAAGGGTCCTGAATCAGGTAAGAATTGTGAGTAAAAGTGATAGAGTAAGAAGTATTGCGTGTTAAGGCACTGACACTTAGCAAATTGAAACGAAAAGAAGGGATAAAAAAGACAGAGGTTAATAATAAGGACTGAGAAACAGGGACAGTGCCGGAAAAATGAACTGGAAGAACAGAGCCATTTGGCAATGTAACAGATGTATGGGGAATTGGTTGAACATCAGAAAACAGACTTAAGTTGCAACACACATGACAACTAGCACCGTATCTAAGATCCAATCAGTAGGAGAAGTCAAAGAGGAAGAAGTAGAATATAAGGCAGAAAGAATCTGTGGGGATGAAAAGGAAAACGAACCTGAGAAGGAAGGCTCGGTAGTGGTAGTAGCAGAGTCAGAAACCGGTGGTGAACTGCTAATAAGCTTTAGTTGAGACTGGAATGTGTCAAACATAGCTTGTGCTTGAGCCATGGTGCTCGAAGAAGTTCCAGCAGGAAAAGAGGAGCCAGTAGAGGTCTATGATACTGAAGAAACCATGTTAACAGGATTAAATGGTTTAACATCAGTACCTGAGCGTGGGCGAGGCAACAGGGGGGTTTTCCCGATGAAGCAGGAGCAAAAGAAGGCAGTA